TGGAACTTTGCCCCCAGATGTGCAGGGGGAGGACCCTGGCATGCCCTGGGGGTGCTGCAAAAGGTCACATTAGGGACCCCATGGGTCCAAATTAGAGGAGAGGGTGGGGAAGCTCTGGTAGGAGCTAAAAGCAGCCAGTTCTCTTCTCTCCTTCCCTACCCGTATTTAAGATGGATTAGCCCCAGAGATGAGTCCTGGAGCCTTGAATTTTGTTTAAAAAAGTAATTGTAGGTTTCTCTCTTTAAAATAAACAATGCTGCAGAAGCAGAGAACCTATTTATACGCTTGCCTTCCGTTTATTGAGAGGACTGTTTCTCATGTCTCTGTCTCCCTTCATGTAAGTAAAGTGAAACTTGGTGCTCAAATCGTTCCTTTCGAACTTCAGATAGGGTCCCCACGTGGCAGAATGTACTAACTGGGACACTAATTTCACCATCAAGCCACCCTTAGCATCAGGGGAATAGAGAGAACGAAAGAAGGAGCTGGTGACACCTCAGTGGTCAGTTCCTCTGGTCAACAGAGAGGCCATCAGGGGCTCCAAGAGAATGGAGCAGACCTTTGGTGACTGACCCAAAAGTCCCAGTGGTTTGGGGTCAAGATTCAAATTCTGGTTCCACCCCTTAGTAGTTGGGTGATTTGGGGAACATGAAAAAACAAACAAAATAAAACAAAACACTTCCTTTGAGCCCTGGCCAGGTAGCTCAGTTGGTTAGAACATCGTCCTGATACGCCAAGGTTTTGGGTTCGATCTCCAATCAGGCACATACAAGAATCAAGTAATGAATGTATAAATAAGTGGAACAACAAATCGATGCTCCTTTCTCTCTCTCTAAAAATCAATCAATAAAATAAATAAATAAATACCCTCCTCTGAGCCTGTTTTGTCTTCTATTAAAGGGGCTGTAATGATACTTATTTCACAGGGAGTGGTGAATATTAAATGGCCCATAAATAGTGCTGTAGTAGGCATTCAGTTAACACTGGTTTCCTACCCCTTTTCCTTTATTAAGGAACTCCACCAGAGCCCACAGCTTCCATTTGAGGAAGAGGAGAGAGTGCTCCTTATGCTGTTAGGTCCAGATCTTTCTCAAGCCCAAGAGCTGGGAACTGGAAAAAACTGGCCAAATCTTTGGAGCTCGTGGTGGAAACATGGAGAGAGAGACCAAGGTGGCAACTAAACAATGCGGTCCAGCAACTTCCAGGTCAGCTCCTTACAGAGTGCTGGGACATCCCACCCCAAGGAGTGTTGCTCAGGAAATTTATTACCAAAACAAACAGACCGTACAAGGGGGCCTTTGTTAGGTGGCCTCACCCAGGGCATGGAGAGCTCTGAGGATGAGTGAGGGAGACCAGGAGCCAGAGTGAGGGAAGGAGGGCCCTTCCTTACCCCTCCTCATCACATGGAACTTTCTAGGGTCCCCCCAGTTACTCAGTCTGTAAAGCCTCCCATGGAGGAATAGACTTTTCCCCATGCTCCTGCCCTGCCCATTGTTAATACCTGACATTTACAGAGGGTTTAAAATGGGCCAGGTCCATCCTGGCCAGGTGATTTAGTTGGTTGGAGTGTCATCCTATAAATCAAAAAGGTTGTGGGTTTGATTCCTGGTCAGAGCACATACCAGGTTGCAGGTTCGATTCCCAGTTGGGACACGTATAGAAGGCAACCGATTGATGTTTCTCACATCGATATTTCTCTCTCTCCCTTCCTTACTCTTTAAAAATCAATAAAAACATATCCTTGGGTGAGGATTTAAATATATATATATGGCCTTGGGTGAGAATTAAAATGAGTCAGGCCCTATGGCAAGTGCTCCCCGAGGTTCCTCATTTAATCATCTTATCCCTCATTGAGAGACAGGCGCTATTATTAATTATCCCCATTTTCCAGGTGAGTTAGCTGAGGCTTAGAGAGGTTAAAGTCACACACCTGAGGTTATGCCCTTGCAGTGGAAGAGCTGGAACTGAAGCCAGAGCTGACTTATGCATGTGACCACTGAACCACACAGCCCTTTCCACTGTTGATTTTCATCTGCTTAGGGCATGGGAAACTGAGGCTCAGGACAAAGAAAGGAACATGGTTGCCTTCTACTGAAGGAGAGGTGGGGTGAGAGAGGGCAAGGCCTGGACCTTGGGATCCTGGGAGGTGAGCACAATTTGAGGGTGCAGCAGACTCTGGGACCAATGGGGGAAAGCCAATCAACTTTGAGACTGAGTGTACCCTGAGACCCCCAGATTGTAGGGACCTCCCACTTCAGCCCATCCTGAGCTTCCCTGAGGCGAGGGTGGTGGTAAGAGCTGGGCCCTGGGCTATGGGCCCTACCTGTGGCCTAACGCTGACCTAATGCTGGCACCACATTGCCATCATTACTTAAGGTGAGAGGGTCTGCAGACCCCTCTGCCCCGTGCATGAGACCATACTCCATGGCCCCAAAGTGATGACTGCAGGAATCTTCCAGGGAAACTCCATATATACCCCTAAGCTGGGTATTAGTGGATGGGGGTGAGGAGGTGAAGTGGTTACCAAAGGCCAAAGGGATATCTGGCTGCCCAGGAGTCAGAGCCCAGGCAGATTTTTACCCTGCCAGAGAAGGAGGAACCGAAAGTGCAAATATGTGCAGGAGCCGGGAGAGGCTACGGGTTATCGACCACAGTTTCACTGGGACTCAACCCAAGAGGGGGGAGGGGGAGGCAGGAGGGACAGGCTAGAACTGACTGCTGCAGCCCAGAAGGGGCCAACCTTGGGCAGCGGGCTCCCTCTGCTGGACGCCCCACCTCCCAAGAGAGGAGAATCAAGGTGCGGGAAGAGTTGCTTAAATCCCCCAACTCCCGTCCTTCCTGGGGTGGGGGGCAAGACTAGGACAGACTGAACATTAACATCATGCACATCTGATGATTTTTATTACAGATCTGGCAAAGTGATTGTTGGACACAGAACAGGAACTGCTGAGACCAGGCTCAAAGCTGGGGGGACACGCAGCTCCCAGGAACACAAACAGAACAAGGTAGGGAAGGGCACCCCAGCACACTCTCCTGTAGGTTTCCGAAAGGTTAGTGCCCTGCCTTCCTACGCTCAGGCTTAAGGGGGGATCAACACCAAGAGGGAGGCCCTTGGGGGAGCCGGTCAATAATAGAGACACTGAGGCACATGTCCATACAGTGGAATGAAGCAGTTTACAGAGTGGCAAGTTCAGTGCCAATGTGCACAAATGATAGTCAGTTGTCTTATCCTGACTTAGTCACAGCAAACATTTACCCAGCCTGGCTCCTCTCCACAGTCTGTAGGCCACTCATCCAGGCTGTCCCTGGTCACCAGACTTGGGCTCAAGGAAAGCAAATACAGTTCAACACAGGCCTCAGCCGGGGGTTACTGAGGAATCCAATCATGAGGCAGTAGGTTTAGAGGCTGAGGCCACTGCATCCAGTCATGTGGGGT